TAAATGAAAAAATGTTACCTTACGGAGATGCGTCACTTCCGGACAAAATCATAGCTAATTATCCTATTAAAAGGAAGATATTGCATTACACCTATACCTTTCATATGGCTGATAATATATAATAGTCGATGCTTAAGAGAAACGAATGCGGCAACTTCTACTGTGTGTTGAAGTGCAATGGAATACCTTACGAGGGAAGTAAATGAGCTATAAGAAATAGGCTAAGTTCGAACAATCACACTTTTACGAGTATTTCTGAAACTATAGTTAAATATGGACGCCTTTTTTATTGGCAAAGCAGCAGGTGATATGTTGGCAAGACGTGTCCTGACGCCCGGCAAACTGATTAAGTTTACGTTGCAAGTCGTTTTTCTAGGGAAGTGAAACGGATTTACAAAGTGAAATGCTACTGGTAAAAGTTGCTTTTGCATGATAAAAGCCGGTGGGTAACTAAAAATAACCAACTACGTTATGTATGTTCACATGTAACAATAACTAAAGTACATATATTTTCTCTACGTTGAGCACAAGTTTCTATTTCAAGTACCATTCCTGTTCAGCTTCTGGGTACTTCTTCCCAAAATACTTATGACTGGGAAGCTTGTTGATGTTAATGATTTCTGTATACAGGCTGGCAGACCTATCCAAGGACTGATTTAAACAGATCTCATTTTTGCGATTTATTCTAACACTGGCAAACATACACACTTAAGCGTGTTTTGCAACAAGTAGTTCCCACAAGAAAAAAGACTGGCAATAACCAGCTCCATTAGAAGACTGTGGATGGCGAAGGTTTAAATCAGTGTTGTGACAGTTTGAATCTTGAGCCTCCAGAAATAGATCACATCCAAGACTAAATGAATACGCTTTTATAAGGTAAGACATTTGCTTCGTGGTATTTGTAGTATCGATTTTTTCGAATAAAAATATATCCTATAATAACAAGACACAACGTCATTAGACACCATACCTATACGGCGACAGGATGATTATTTCGTTTCATACAGTCTATATATATATATATATGAATGTTTTTCCATATGTCTGCCATATATTTCGTTCCAAAAGTGCGTATAGTTACACACTGATTGATACCTCTAGCACAATATTAAAAAGTGATGATTACTATTCCACCTCTGTTTAGCCGATCTCAGCTCCTTTGCAGACCTTCTCAAAGCGAGTGGCTACCGTGAACTTACATTTTGCTGGATTATTTCGTCCCGCTAGAGGTAATCAGACGCATTTCACGAGCATGAACTAAATTAAATTACGCAACAGGATGACGAGCGGCCAGATCATAACATCATCATATTACATTTTCATGAAAAGGCGCCGAACGTAGCGCTGGTGCTAATTTGCTAATGCCCCCTGCTGATGACATGAACTCCAGCTCGGTACACGGTGCCCCCAATACTAAAATCTGTTTAAAAGAAGAAATTAGCAGACAAACCTTTAAAATACTCTAAAACTTTTGCTACCATATCGACAAATTACATTTAGTATGTATGACCCAGTGATACGGGCGACAAAAACTGCGTTAGGTTTATATTCTTCGGACAGAAGTCCGTGCACCTAGAACATTTCTTTATGGCAAGGCCATTTGATGCTTCCTTATCTGCACCATCACACAGGTCAAACATTTTTAATGTATATGCGAATTAAATAGAGGAAGGCGGGTTTACTTAACTAATCGAGCTAAGATTTGGTAATGGTTGCGGTTATAAAAGCAACTAATTAACTAAAACGCAACGTTGTGATGTTCGTACGGTTTTAGATGGATGATTCCGAAATGTTTTCCCTTTAACGTCACTGGTATCGGAGTATTACGTCTTCATCTTCTGTTGGGCCAATACAGGGTAAATAATATCTTAAGGATACCAACTGTCTCTTGTAAAACGGTTCCAGCCAGCGTGCCCTTGTAGCATTGTTATTTTTGGGCGCGGTCACAAAAGTAGGTAAACAGATTTCCTTATGATGCCCACAAAACGTAGAGTGAAAAAGGCGCATTAGACACATGATCACTAAATTTACAACTTTCGCGAAACCGTACATCCTCTGGGTGACTAAAACTCTACAAAACAAAAGTGAGCAACTTTTAATAATACACATTTATATAGCTAACCAAGTGAAGTCGAAATGGTCAGGTAAGAATATTAAACAGAAGTATACTATTTTTCAAGCTAAAACGTAGCACATTCAACCTCACCACTGTGGCCATCGTCGCCTCCACGATTATATCCAAAATAAAAGAACAGCATTCAAAATACGCGATCGGCTGGCATGAGTGATATTAGAGAGGCCTTAGTTACATAAGGATGTATATACACTGTTCTGCCTTATATTTCCGATGTACTACGTGTTGGCGAAGATCTAGTTATGGCAGCTATCGCAGTCTTCTCACTACTATTGATGCTATAAGTGAATCACGAAGCAGGATGTTGCCTTAATAAAACCAGGATACAGCTTCGTCCTGCTTTCTAGATGCTGTTGTTTAGCATAAAATCTGAACGAACCTAGGCGACCGGAGCATAGAAACACTGTATAGTAATACAACCGTTTCTTTCTAATGGAGTTTCGTAACATTTATATGGATGATTCATTTACCAACTCGCGAAGGAAGCTCTGTATTTACAGTGGTGCATATGAAATCGGTGAAACTTGACACAGCAATCGTTGGCAGTCATACGACGCGCTCGATAGGCCAAGAAGTAAAAACCCCTTGTTGCAGGTACTGCGGTAGAAGTAGCAGCAGCAGCAGCAGCAGCAGCAATTTTTAGTTAGCTTCATCTTCCTTTGCCCCATAAACGCCAGTAGAAAAATCGTTGTCGACGGACTTACAGCTGAATCGGGTCTCCTCAGTGGTGTGTTGTTGCGGTAAAAATGCGAAGGCCATTAAACATGAGTTGTTGCCCTGTTGACGGTCATGATTTGTCCGCCTTTAACAGATACACAGAAAGTCGTCGCATACGTAAAGTCAGAATGAAGCATCTGCGGTTCTGTACCAGTTCTGCCGTCGAATCGCAAATCGTTGGTTGATCGGTGGCTTTTTTCTAGTGGTGAGTTACTATTAGCGCTAAAAACACCTAGGCATTATCATACCCGTATCGTCATTCAGGATATGCTTGAGTCTGCAGTGCAATTGCAAGTGAATATCAATACGCCTCTAATTATTTTATCAATGTCATGATATGTTTTGAACTTGGGTTACTTGTTGTACAACGATGATTCAGAGGCGGCGGGGTTGTCGGAAGAAAGAGTTGGGTTGTGTAGACGCTTTTTGCGTCCGACTGTTCTACTACGTTCACGGTACACAACAGTGGCCATCGTTTATCTGCCTCCGCCCGTCGGTTTATGTTCCCAAAGCAAATTTGTTACCGACCCCGCTAGATTAGCGGACATGAACATGTTACGAGGGCGGATGAAACTGCGTTATTGTAGGAATTAGGTCTAGGTAGATACAATAATCAAGGAAACATAGTGCCGCATATCAGCATTTACGTTTCTGAGAAAAACGTGTTAACTGTTTTGAAAACGTAGACGAATGACAACTTTTTGACACCCGATGTAGTATGTACCAGATGAGAATAAGGGAAACGTAATTTTTCTTGTGCCTATAACACGTGCATACATGCTGACTATCTGCTATTTCCACAAATTGGCCGGACACCCTCCACCAGGCGTCCGTTCTAACAAAATCAAACCTCCGCTCTCAATCCAAACTTAGACAAAGCCTTTTTTTTTTTTTTTTTTTTTTTGTCAATCATTAGATTGAATTGTTAATTTTCTTGAAATATAGACAAGAACGGCAGATAACTTCATTAACGCTTATGCAACAACGCAACGTTTGCATCTGCCAACGCTTCTTAGAACGAAGTTTTCAACAAAGTTACTTGCTCCGACAGGCATACAGCATCACAGAATCCTATTTACTGAACGTTCGCTTTGAAAACCTATTTTCTGAGATGCCGCCAACAGAGCAAGCAATCTTTTATTTTGTAGCAGTGAGACAATGTGAATCGTAGTCAGAGATTCCAGTATCCATGAATGACTTTTGTGGTTACGCATCCATAGTTGTTAGTCAAAAATGAGAGACACCCCCGAACGTCATAACGCCATAAAGCATACACTATACAGCCCTATTAGAGCCACCCGCGAGTGATTCTATACGTCAACAGAATTTCATTAGGACAAAAGGGCGAAAATAAAACGCAACTCTGAGCTCATCTCATAATTCCAACGATATTCTGTATTTTCTTGTGAATGAGACTATTATTTACATCATCGACATTTCGCATCTACAGATGCCGTAGAAAACACCTGGTCGGCGATTAGCACATAAGAAATCTAATATATCGACACTGAGGAGCGACCGACAGCCCGAAGACTCGGCTGGGTCATAATATTTGTGCCGCGCTTTACGAAGAAGCCACAGATGTGCTGTGGCTGGAATCTTATCGTGCCAATTTCGTTTGTACATAAATAAAACTCCAGATTTTAACGTTCTGTGATGATAGCAAAATTATACGACAGTTGCATCTGTTACGGTTTGGGTCCGACGCAAGTCCTAAGCAATAGCACCAGGTCATTGACACCATCAGAGATTTTGCAAGGCTCAAGGACGGTGGCATAGCCGCCTGTACGAGTGAGTGCCTAATGCTGAAATTGGTCTTCCCGCCAACCTTCACTTTTGCACCAGGCACATGGTACTAATTAGATTATGATCTATAAAATATGCTAAATATTAAAAACCAGGCCGCCGCATCGTGGCAGATAGCCAATAACACAGATAGTATATTTAAATAATATCATGCACCGTAACAAAGAACAGTATTTGATGTCGAGCTCGTTTAGATAGTTCTGTTAAATTCTTTGCCTCAGTGACTGTATTGTATCAATATACCTTTGCCTTTGACTATATGAAAATCGATATGTTTATCTTGTGAGATGCTTGACATCAATGGCTCGGAACGATTCATTTAAAAAAAAACTATACAAAGGAACTAAGTATCCTCTTAATCCTCCACAGCAATATACTTTATTATTACCTACACCGTAACTCTTTGATTCCACGGTACTATTACTGTTCTATTAGCGACAATTTTTATACAGCCCCCCCCCAATATCCGTGCTTCTTGTCTGACCCGTATGCTTGTGTCGTTTTTACCTTTGTTTCTATATTTGACCTCGTATGAGCATCGTCTTGTATGAATGACAATTTCCTTTTCTATGAACATCTCTCAGAAAAAATAGCACAAAATCACTGTACCATACGGCTGCTTTCTTGTCTTGATATTCTATTTAGTACATACACACATACTTGCAGTGATGCATTTACATTGCTTTCTTTCCTTCGTCTTCTGTTTGACAGCCTATCTGCCGGCTCGTATTCTATTGAAGCTGCGGTGATGGTCGCAGCGACGATGATCGTGCCATGACTGAAGAAGGACTCGGTCCGTCTATTTGTCCAACTCACCTCTCTGCGGTTTAATCTAGGCTATGACTGTAGCTTTCGCTGCTACGGGGCGGTTTACTAGCCAAGCCGTCGGTCTGTCCCTGGTAACAAGCGCTCGGCCGACTTCGCATTAGGTAACGAACGACCCGTTGAACTTCGTTTGGAAGGAGCTATCGCAAGCAGTCGAGGGGAAGCACTTGGGTAAGAAGACACTGCAGCAACAGAAGTGCCAAAAGAATGGGCTTACACCAGCGTTACAGCACACAGAAGGGAAATCCTTCGGACAGCAACAAAGGAGATTTGACCTGAACGAACCGCCACGCATTACACCATGATGGGCGCATGTTAAGCGTTGCAAGTAACGTAGTAGCCGCCGCTATGAACTAGAAGGATGACAATAACGCTGATGATGTGCCCACTGATCAACAAACAATGGCAAAATCAACAGCAATACAGATGTCGACAAATACTACCATTCTTCTCTTATACTATGATTATACTGCTCTTGACCATCCTGTCTGTGTCTCTGTGAAGGGTGAATCTCCTGAGATAGTCCATACTGTTATTGCTACCGTTGGCTGCTAACTAAACTGCTGACGTAGTCGCTGCCATACCGCTCGCCATCGCCTGGACACAGTCAACCAAAAATCGAAAGGACCTCGGTAAAATCTTTTTTTTTCGGCTTCGGCCTGTTCGCCTTCGATCGCAGTCAGCTAGAGGAAAGAGCTGCTTTGCGCGAACCTCAGTAGCGCCTCGAACGTTTAGTCTCTCTTCTGTTCTCATTGATGCGTCATACATATAACGAAATTGACTTAGATCGCTGAACAGTATTTTCCTTCACACGTGCTGGTCATTCTTGTTGTAGTGGTTGGCGCTGTTGTTGTTGTGGTTGTATGTATATATGTTGTTGTATTATAGGTTGCATGAGCTGGGAGGTTCTCTATTCAACAACACAGGCCGAAAACTGTCTGTGATCTCATATTTATGCTCAGTTCTAGTACCAGAGATAGCTGTAAGCGTTCTGCAAAGAGTCATTGAGATGTCTACTGTTAACATCGAAAGTTACTATTAGACGTTTGTACGGTCAGCACACCGATGAGTGTATGCATATACTTCACTCGTTTGATCAGCCAAAAAACGCAATTTTATCTTCTACGACGTAAGATATCCTCTTAGTAATTGCTTATGTGCGTAGACAGTAGTATGTAACTAGTGCGTTCGGAGGCAGTTTCTCATAGAATAGTTGGCGCTTTCTCTTAAAACGGATACCAACGTCATAAAATAGGCATCTTGCACGGTAAATTTCCCAATAACTCCTTTGGATCAAAAACAAATTGTTGCTTCCCTCTAGTTCATCTGACAGATAAACAAAATGCGCAAAATAATTATATACAGTCTTGTTGATAGTGAAGGTACTTGCGAATCGAAGACAACAGGGTAGGATTTAGCTATTCGGAAAATATATTTGCCACAAAACGTCTCATTTAAGTGCTATGGTTGATTACCGTGGGACTTTTCGGCACGAAGTTAGCGTTGAATTGTTTCTATTAACTTTAGCATTCGAGCTGCTTTTCGGCAATCTCTCCTTGAGGTTTGCTACGAAGGTATAGTTATACGTATTTTCTTTTTATATATAGCAAGGTGTTTTGTTAGATATCGAGTCCTTTCTTTGTACTCTTTCAAATGCGATATGTTTTATATGTTTATGTATAACCTTATATAAATTATTTTAATAGGGATAAACATTGTATTAACAAAAACGTAACTTGCAAAAAGAAGCGAATTGGTTTTAATTTGCTTCTCAGTTATCGATCCACCTTTATCACATATGGGTTCTTGAGAAATCCAGACACCATTACACGTACTGCAAGATTTTCTAATCCTCATGACTTCAGGTAATTATAAATCTTGAATTCAAATCAGTGACTACGCTATCGTACGAATATAAGCCTTCAATTTCCCACTCACACTACAAAACTTGTTTTCGCCTTCTGTTTTTTTTTCTTTTGTTTTTCTTCACCCTTTTCTCCACTAGAGCTTTTTTAGAGTCGTACTCTCTTCGGTCTGTCGTCAATATCACGATAGGCTTCGTAGAAGTGCTAGCCTTCACTACCTAAAACTCCGAATGTTGCTGCCGGTTCCGCCAGCTAGAACACCCAAAACATAGCCCCACCCTGGCGAGCGAACCGCCCGCTCCATTACTCTCACCTCTTCAGCAAAGATCATCGCGGTCATCCATATCGTGTGGGCTGTACTCTCTCAGTTTTGGCGACCCTTTCCCCAGCTGACGAGCCGCGCACAGCAGTTCGCTCCTGGGGAGCGCCCGTTGTGACTCGCTCCCGGCCCAATGATCGGCCCTTCCCTATGTAGTAGCTTGTCTATGCTATTGCCGTGAGTGAGGTTCGTGTGCAGTAGCAAAGAAAAGTGCTGATCCGTGGTGCTTCGCCAAGTGCTGTGCGTTTTGGTGTGACCTTTCAAAACCGATCCCTCTACGCCTCAGGAACCATTTGTAAGAAAAATCTAGATCGAAAACAAATTCGGAGAAGTGCGTGGTGTTAAAGGAATTGAGTTAATGTTTAATAACAGCAACAGACAACGGATTAACAACATGTATTGCTGCGTTTAATATGCCTTTGGAAATATGCTGTTTAGGTCGTTTTGCGGTAATGCCGAGTAGCTAGCTAGAGGAATCAGTAGCAAAATTTAACGACCATGCCAGTCTAGAAAGAAGTAACTCCAGAGGTGATCTGACTGAGTGATTAGGCTTCGGATTGGAAAAAGGGCTTCAGAATATAATATAAGGACAAAGAACACGCAAAATTCGAAATTGTCTTCTATTGGAAAGTGCCGCTGCAAGAGTGATTGTTTTAGAAAAGATAATGAAGTTCGGTCACTTCCCTCAGTGAGGCGGGTCACTCATTTTCAAATAGCTGTTGCCAAGCAGGAGATCGAAGTTAAAAAGATGTTACAAGCTAAATCATCAATCATGTCAAGGGCGTAAGATCATGTGCAGCAGGAGCAAATATAACTGGGCGTAACAACTTCGACCGTCAGGAAGGACACGAATCGATATAATTCAGCACTTCGTAGTTCCTTCGAACATTCTGTGTAAACCAGACCCCATTGGTTCTCACAGCGCGCCACAACTTGTTGCCCCTGGGGGTGCCCTTTCCCAGTTCACATAGAGTCCAAGCGGCGCTTATTGCCGTAAATGATATTATCAATAGCGGCGCTAGTATCATTTGAAACACAGCCCGGGAATTGTCCGCGAAAGGGTAATCGCTTAAAATAGCTTCCTAAAAGAAAAAAAAAACACCGGATAGTAATCTCTATCGAGCCATAGAAATCAGTCGAGCCATTAATAGATCGATTCGTTTTCCTTTTGGTGACAGCGACCACATCGTCAGTACCATCGAGTTAGCGGAAACGCAAGAAGAACATATATGTATTTAATAATATTGAGTCGGCTACATTGCAGTAGAGAAAAAATCGTGGGTGATCTTTGTCGTAATGTAGAAGTGAAGAATAAAAAATTGGTTGCCTCAATTTTTTTTGTTGGATTTAATCCATTGAAATACACCGCTTGTCAAAAAAACAAGTTATACATTGCAATATATTGCCGATTGAGAGTGTCTAAAGTTAACGAGCTACCTGAAATACACGAATAGTTACTGAACAGTTCTCCACGATTCGCCACTAGTTCTCTCTGTATTTTGGCATTACCCATCGACCTTCAGAACTAAAAGAGCACCGAAACAGGACGTTACGCAATCTCTAAGGATACTGAACGGTGCAGTACAACACATTTCAGCCAAAAATAAAAAAAAGAACTATATCATCAGTCAATAGCAACCCAACATAATGGCCACTAGCAGCCAGGAACTCGTAAACACCCGGAAACCGGAATCCGACGCGGGAATTGACGTTGAGGACGACGAGGACGATGTAAGTGGCTTAAATACGAAAACTTTTCGCCTGCAACAAAATTGTACTTCCTTATGTTTACGTGGTATATTCTATAATAGGAACGCATTTTTTTCACACAAGTTGTTTTGTACCAAGCATTGATCAGTGGCGTATAAAGTTTTTCAATACTCTACCGCAGAGTGCATAGATACTTGCTCGGTGCTGCGTAATTTCTAACTCGAATAATGGTTTCAATTCGATTGCGCCGTTTCTGGTGAAAAGGAAGTTCTGTGGCATCCTGTACGTGTTATGCTCCTCGTTAGCGGAAACGTTCGTTAGCTGCATTTGAAAAAAATACGTGTATATGGGGCAAATGCGGAGAGACAACGTCATTCGTGCAAAATGACTTCCCTTTTTTGGCTTTTGCTGGACCAAGTGACCTCACGAGTTTGTTTTGCGACGCGATTTAGTCACCCTTACGGTGAATAGATCTTGATAGGTAGGTATGCTTTTAGAATTTGTTATTTCTTAGTTTTACCATATAGTTCCTGACCAAACTAGTATATGATCTCGGCCCAGCAAAAATTACACTGTTGAATGCAGCCTCTCGGTTACACCCGAACGAACACTCCTTGCAAAGACCTCAAGATAACCCTTTTTCACAATCTCTGCGACATGAAAGATAAAGAAATAATTCTTTGTTCTGCGTCAGCTTTTTTCGGCGCCGGCGCCAGCACCTGCCAACCATCCCTGTGACCACAAACCGGGCCGTTGGCTGAGATAAAGTTCATCCTTAACGTTCGACTAGCCGTGGCGTCGTCTATACTGCATCGGCTGCTGCTCTCGCTATTACCTTCTTTGTTACTCGTATCATGCGCGGCTACAGCAGCTGCCGCAGTTGCTAACCGACCAACCCGTTCGTGCTTGCCATTCAGTTAACTCAAGAGCACTCCGTAGGCCAAATGAAAAGCTCGAGCGCGTTGCTACTAGAGTCGACGTAACACTGGTAGACAGTACTGCTATTTCCTCTTCGTTCGGGTGGTAATTCTGTAGTGCCAGTTAAGCACTACTCTTAGTAGCGTCTGCTGCTGCTGTTTTTATTGACTACGAAAGTTTGTCGGTAATGGTGAACCACAACTGTGTTTGGTGGCTCCAGGTCGGAGTCGATTATCGGAGCCCTGCGGGTGGCGCTGCGCCCAGGCCTCCTCCCTTCGCAAACAGGTTTCGCTTGGCCGGTAACCGGTGCTATATGGTATAGACCTATAATTTTAGAATTCTGGTGGTCCTATTTCAGCAGCTGCTCCTTCTGCTACCCTCACTTTAGACGGAATACCCTGTGGCATCACTACGAATACCCAGTGATGTGACTTTCCGTATTCTTCTTAACGCTACTATTCCCGTCGGTTCTGCTATTATTTGACCGCAATAATAATTCTGTTGCTGCGAAAAGCTGGCTTGATAATGTTGTTGTTTCTGCTTTTAGGATTCCTCTATGTGACACAGCGGCTGATGATGATGTTTCACACTGGCGCGTTGCAGCGCCGCTGTGACCTGCTAGATCACCATGGAAGGTTTATGGGGAAAACGATCGCATATCTAATACGTATCTATGTATCTCTAGTGTATGCGAAGTAGTGCAACATCTCAGAACGATCAGACAGTAACATCTGAGAGTATCCCAAATCTAACTCTTGTGGACGCGTATTGTTCATTCTCGCGCAACTGGCATTCTTGTTAATCTTCAGCCTGACGGTTAATATATTCATTGCGGCGCAAGTCCGTAACGGTTGTCAATTTTGGCCGTAAGCAATGACGGAACTATTGGAGGCAGCTTCCAGCTTACGCCGTTGAATGTAACTAAGTCAGGGCCGCCGGGATCTTAGGTAACGATGACTTGGTAGACCTCGTTGATATAGTACAGAGTCGAGAGAACTGTTTGCTTATTTGAAACAACGCATATCGTCTCGCTAGAACAAAAGCGGCAAGAGAAGCTCTACCATGATCCAGTTGCTAGTTGCGCTTCACGCATGCGTTTGTCCATCGAATTAATAAGTAGATAGCATTTGATCCCACTAGATTCAGCACAGATCGGAAAAATTCGTAATACTGATAGATATCACTGTCAAATCGTCGCAAGATAGATCGAGAAAATACATTAACTTGAGCTTTTTTGTAATAGTTGGAAAATGTTTAACTTATATTATAGCCTAGTCGTTGTTTTGGACCACTGGCTCGGCCGCTGGTAGCCAACAAAAACAGCGTAAGATCATCTTAATTTGTTTTTTTACAAGCATAACGTTAAAATCACAAATTCGAATGTCATATATGTCCGACTTCGAGTAACTTTTCCTTATTAATCACGTAAAACTTTTAACATAAAATTATTCATCACATCTGTATACCTTTAGGGTGTCGTATGTTAGCCATCCATCTGTAGGTAAGCAGAAAGCCTCAAATGTCCAAAGAGTGCCTCCTGATCTCAGCTCGTGCCTTAATCTATTTGCCTTTCATCATCCATCAGTTCCGTCCGCTTCGTTTTTTCTGGAAATCCAATTAATTCTGTGCTTCGCTTTTGCTGAACTGTGTCCGCGCCCACACGCTCACGCACACACGCCAACATGGTTACACCGTCCGCTATTTTTGGATATTTGAAATTCGAATTTTCTTTAGTTTTATTTACCCTTTTAATCACCCCTTCTTTAGAATCTCAGCCACGAATGTAAATTCGTTTTTTCTAGCAGACAGCAGCAGCATCAAAAAAACGGTGCTATTAGCGTCCGACTCCGCCAGCGCGTCGCGCATGACGCGTCCGGTCGCCTGTTGTTCAGAATACGGGCATCGATGGCGGCGGCAGCATCAACAACCCCACGATCACAAACAAATTATTATATGCGGTGAGCAAATGGCGGCGATGATGGCGACTACTGAATCACTCGTCGTTCGCCTAGTTGCTGCATTAACTATTGGATTAGTATCCTGGCAGACAGCCGAGTAGTAGACGGGGGGAACCATGGCAGTAGACTATAAAACAGAGAGCACCGGTTCTCTATCGCGCATCCGCTGCCAATGACTGTCGATTGCCTGACGAGTAAGCGACCTCGTCGACAGGCGGCTGCCATATGCACAACATCTCTAGCGCTGCTGCGATTGCTAATGTTGTTGTTGTTGTGGCAATTGAATGAGCTTGGTATTGAGCATAAAAATCTGCAGCAGTCTGACCACGACCTACTGCCTGTATCAGGAACGGTTGACTGCGACCATCATTCAGAGAAAATTCACTACACCTCAGAGTCATGATTACTAATACTGTAGAGGAGATGAATCGAAACGTAGCAAATAAATGAAACTGGGCTTGGATGAGAGAATTAAGAATAGGACAGGGCGAGAGAAAAATCATGTTGGAAACCTTATTTGCCACCGAGTCGCTGAACAGTAGATAACACTATCGTTCGTGTCACCACGACCGAGCTGGTAATTCTGGCCATATAAACAAGCAACAAGTCAAAGGGCATATATAGGCTATTTGTTCGGTTCAATTCCGCTCACAGATGTAATCTGTTTAGCCATCTATTCATTACGAGCAACGACTGGCAACGGCATAAGAGGTTTCCCACCAGTCTTGGGTTCCAGCTCCAGAATTCGGGCCTGCGGGACACAAAGGTCTCAGTTAGGCTCACGGCAGCAGTTCACCAGATGGGATCCGTTTGAAGATACGGTACGCCAAGATACAACTGTATTAAGCGTGTTGTTTTGTTATACATGTTGCCGTCGTAAACAAAGTTAGTCGACTTCGCTTTTCATGACGTGTGGGCGATGGGGTCCGTACCAAACAACATCGTTCTGAGACTCTTCCTCTCGTTGTTGCCGTGAAAAAATGAGATTTCTAACAGAAGGCCAGAACAATCGTCGGTGTCGTCTGACATCGAAATGCTGTGGCACGTTTTAGTCTACAATAGAATAGCTACGTATCGCGTTTGTTGTTGAGCAGTGCCAGCCAAAGCCCCCGAAACGAGGAGTGCGTCAACTCCCTAGCCGTCGGGTCCACGCGGCGAGTAAAGCGGGCGTCGACGAGGTGACAGGAATGTATTGTATTCTCTGGGGAACTCTTGAGTCTTCACTGCATCAAATAATACTGCATCAATAGCGCACGATGGCACTCAATGCGTTTTTCTGACTGCATCCGGCTTTCACCGTTTGTGAATTTAATACAGCGGACGACGCACATGCCTAGCTTTCAAACCATTGTTTTTGGCGTGGTGAAGAGAGAAGACGAACTAAAGTAGCAAAAACGACATAGATCAACGCGTTCATGCAGACTTTAAGTCAATGGTCCCTGTTTTGAGCCAGAATGGTTTGGGTCTTTAGACTTAAGACTTATTTCCGTTTATGCGGTAAGTACATGGGATTCACTTTTATTTTGCTAGTGACTAATCTAAAGGCATACCTATTTCAATTGAAACAAAAAATAATCATGAAAATAGCACTCTCAATTGTACTCTCTGGCCAGTCAATAATCCTGACTACCATCATGGTGAACCATGCATCTTTAATTAGTTCAACATCACGGCTGTATTCTATTCTCGCTATGCGCCAGCATCAGCCGATCATCTCGTTAGTCCAGTAATTTTCCACTGAGAACGGCGACCATGTCACCCTACCTACCTGCTACATGCGGTGCGCAGATGCCTCAATTCATTTCGGAGCACGATCCACTCGTACGTGCGTACTGCACGTCGATCAGGGATCGCATAGAAACTCGATTACGCGTACAAATGAAACAAGTCTGAAGACAATATTCAATCAAAGAATCGCAAGACAATCAAAATCGGCGGAATTGACCGCAGATTACATAACTATTGCATGATGTAAAGGTATGACGCTTGTACTATACATTATTAGCGTTGTGATGTTGCAAATAGCAGCGTCATAAAAAAAATAATAGCATATAACGAAAGATTGAATAGTCGTTCCTTTTTTCTTTTTCTGCGCAATAAAAAAAGATCGAGATGCATTCGTGATCCGTGCGTGGGTGTAGTTGACCTAAACAGAGTGGCTTAAGGCAGATGGTGAAGATTTGCCTGCAAACTGTAGCCATCGGTTTCTAATGTTTTTGATTTCTCCATATCGAGGAGAATGAAGTGAGGCTGGGTGGTGAGCATTGCCCTGCTAATTAAAAAAAAATTAAAAATAGAAGGTCGTCACAAAAAGACAGCAGTTTACTTGGGCGTGTGTCTGCGTTTAGCTCTAATTATGAAGGAACCAAACGTGGACTTCGTCAAAGCGATGTAGCAGTTTCCCTTCCGACAAAGACGATGAGCTCGAAGACAGTGACATTTGTGAAGATCGATTGTAGCATAAGCAGCGGCGTAGCATCATCACTTATATACGAGCGGAAGTGGGGCACTGTGGCAGTTGTTTGTACTTCATTCGATCGCTGCTCTGTTCCGATCCAACTTTGTTGGCAGTACGTAGTACTGCTGTGGTTGTGGTTATTGTTACCGCCGCCGTGTGTTGTTAATGGTCTGCGGTGGATTTATGAGAGTGTGTGGTACTGTCGATATGTACTCGTGTGTGCGTGTGCTACGAAGTGCTTTGCGTTTTTTTTTAGCGAGACATTCTTATCTATGACACTCTATTTCGGCCGTTTCAATACTACAAGCATCAATAACGCTCCAACGCTGCAAAAACAATAACCACGATCATAGTTAAGGAAAAGAAGAGACTACAGAAAAGCTACGGAGAACATTTCCGACAGTTAACGGGATTTACGGCGGCGGGACATTTTGCTTATGCGATTTGTCTGGCTAGCCACAGATATTCTGTTGTAGATTGTACCAAGCCATCAGCGTACGCCTCATGTTTGTAACATAACAGTCCCGGCCGGCAACAGTCGTTTCTCACATCGCGCAGCAGCTATAGCTATTAGGTCTGTCTGTCTATATCTTTTCCTCTTTATTACGACCAACAGCTTCTGTGTTTGCTTTGGGAAAGTTCATGCTAACTGACGAATGTTGTATATACATGATAACTCTCATTGTCTATAAGGTTTTCCATTGTTGGTATATGTAACAGAATAGTTACTTGACGAGTGTATGACGTACTTGATCTTCCTCGAAAGGTCTCATTTTCATTGTCATCGGTCGCAGCCACTTCAAGGCCAGGTTAAACTTTTTTTGAGTTTTTATTTTTCTGCGGTTGGCACGGAAACAACGGAGTAAAAATATCAATTTTCTCAAACAGATCGTACCCGATAGTAGTCTCATATAGCGTTGCTTAAATTTATCTTTTTTCATATGGTTTCGAATAACCCTAGTAGACGTGCAACGTCATTTCAGACAACGTTACCGTCAGCCGTCATCATTTGTCAGGAACTCTGCCGCTATCCCGCAGTCAGCCGAGAGCAATACCATCCATCCATCCAATGATTTCCTACCATATCACGTGAATTGAAAGTGATCTGGTTTAAGTAACCTTTCCATGAAATCGCATACTTTCTGTGTATGCTTCGAATATGAGTGTAGCATACGAACCCCACACAAGCGGCACGACTTACTGAAGCGGGGACGACGGCGACGATCGATGCTGCGTTTGCTCTTTCTTCTGAATTCTTGTTTATACTTTGCGTCTGATCTTTTGTATCTTCTGCTGACTTATGACGCCGTTCATATTCGGCTCGGACCGGTTCATTCGTTCGATTGGCCCCGTGGCTGTTCGGTTTTTGAGGGAGAAACTTCACAAGCGATTCGCTTATAACGCAGCTGCTGCTGCTGCTGCCGTTGTTGTTGTTGCGCGAAAACGGGCCCGAACAGCAGAGGTGGATGTACGCATTGCAGGCGTCTGGTGGTTCGTAGCCGACCCGACCTGCAGGCTACTGGCCCGCTCGGTTGGGCGACACGCAGTCTCCTGATGTTTACGTCTGACGTTACCGGGAAGTGGTAGCCATTGATGCAATGATAGTGTCGCTCGCATTATAGTATAGCAATTGTTAGATTCGAGAGCTTTGTGTCGCTGTACAGCAGTATGTAGCTTGGTGTCCATTCGACTAGTGCCACTCCCAAGGTCGGCTTCCAACTGATGCGGCTGCCGTTGCCGGCCAGTTCTGTAGCCCTTTAGGTCTTCAGGTGATGATCAGTAGTTTCACATATATATATATATATATATATATAATGTGCAGATAACTTCCAGCTGAGTAATAATAGTCATCACCGTTTTCACCAATATGGCTGCTGCCTGCAAAAAGCACCGACAGTTGCCGTTGTTCGTTCCGAGAAAAATACTCCGAAATATAGCAATAGTTGAGAGTGTAATTATGGTGCCATTTGTTTGCGTAGTGATTGTACGAAATATGTTACGTTTCTTGCCGATACTTACAATGGTGATCATACATCGAGCAAAAGCACCGCACTTGTTGTCCGAGGCAAATAATTCAAAGTGAAAAATGTGTTTTTTGCCTAGCTCTAATAGTATAGAACATAT